GAAGAGGATCTAAGCTGATGTTGGGTGGTGGAAGGAAACATCCAAAACAGATGGAGAAGTACTGGCTAGATAGGTAGAAGGAAAATTCGGTCCTCCACGGTCACTTGTACAGACCTTTTCTCTCAGTGCTTCCTGGCAACTTTCTCCAGACTGCAGATTTTGGAAATTACCACTAGCTGAGATTTCTCCAGGGCACAGATGAGGGTAAGTACAATTCTAGAAGCAATTACAAGATTATGCCCAACACTCTCAGCCCTTAAAGTAAATACTCCAGGCTGTGCCCTGCGCTTTACCCCATGTGCCCAAAGATAAGGAGACTTCCAAGAGAAACAAATGCAAAGGGCGCTAAGAACTTGCCCACTGTTGAAGACTGGGTCATCAGGACCACAGAGTTCAATGCGGCTGTTAGAAAGAATGAAGTTGATATCTTTGTGCTGACATGGAAAAGTCTTTATAGACTCTTGACTGAAAAGAGCAAAGTGACCCACAATTACATAGTATGCCTCATATTTTGTTTGCATTTTAAAAACGTGATCTGGGCTGGCCGATTAGCTCAGTTGGTTGGAGTGCGATGTTACACCACCAAAGTCAAGGGTTCAGATCTCCATACTGGTCAGCCACAAAAAACAAACAAGCAAAACAAAACAAAAACTTGTGATCTGTGAGTGGGGAGAAAGAAGATGAGGAATTGATCTGTAGAAGGTAGCAGCACAAGGTGTGTTTAATCAGAGTAGAAAAATTCTGAAAAGAACCACCCCAACATTTGAACAGCGCTTACCTCTAGGGAGTGGAGCAGAATGGTAGGAATTCTTCCACTACTTAAACTTCTGTTGTTTTAACATGTTTATAATGAATATGAATTAGGTGGGACCAGTGACATTAATGTTTTTACAGGTCAAAATTGTCAAATATGGGCAGTTTCATTTGAATCCACCTAAATGTATTTTGCAACATAAAAGTCCAATGATGAGTTTTAAGGTGAAAGAAAACATGACACCTAGAGCTGCATGCAGCAGCCCAGGTGGGGTGTGACCAGCGTAGGGCAAAGTGAGATGCCAGCCACCTTTGTCCTGATGCAGCGTCAAAGTCAGCCAACACCGCTGCCAGGATGGTTCAGTCTCAGCCTGTAGCCTTCCAACCAGTCCTCTCTCCTTACCAACTGTACCCAATCCTTACTGCCTCAGAGATTGGGCCAAGAAGTTCAGGAAGTCCAGCCCAGGTCTCAGAGAACAGCCACCGAAAAGGGTCACCACCACCATGGGTGTCAATTTCCACACTGGGGAAATGGGAGCACACAAAAGGGCTCTAAGGACCTAGGGTGGGCTCCTCTCCCAAGGTGACCCAAATGAGTCTTGGTACCTTTTGGCATTGGTGTCAGATGAGTCATAGGGTGACAGTGGGGGCAGGGTGTCCACAGTTAACGTGTGCTTGTAGCTTCTAATCATCATGGGAGTGAGCCAGGAAAACATGGCGAAGGAAAGCAGCCCTGCGTCGTCTACTGGGTTGGGTGCCAACCTGAAGACAAATGAGATGCTCAGTGTTCCAGGGTGTTGGGGTCATTGCCCTGACTCTCTCTCTGGCTTGGCTTTGTAACTGCAGTAGTCACCACAGCCATGCTTGGAACCTATGACTTGCACTCATGAGCCCTCTGAGCAGTTGTGTGCTGGGGCCAGCTAATGCCAGCTCATGAGAGCTGATTGTTACATTTTTAAGAATTTTGCAAATCAGTTGTTAAACACAGCCAACATTCAGAATTAAATTACATAAACTTTAATCAATTATCTTAAAGACAAAGGTAATAATACTCAAAATACACCCCTTCCTAGTTACCTTACTATTGTCTGTGCTTCTGAGGTTATTTACATCTACTCTATCTGTGTGTGTGTATATATATCTAGTGGAAGTACCACAGACTGGTGTGCTACTGTGCATCTCTCCCCCACTTTGCTGTCAGTGATGTCATGTTGGTAGCTGGAAATCTGCCACGATGGGAGTATTTACACCATAAAAATGGATAAGCACTACCAACCAGGGAATTTTTCCAGTGATCCAGTTGTTGAACATTTACCAATGTCTAAGCCTCATGACCATTCCATGGGGAAAAAGGCACCTGCTCCGTTGAGGTAGGAGAAAGCAGGGACCTGTTAGTTGACCCTTGGTGGGTCGAGCACTTGTCTTTTGTTCTTAGGAGGATGGGGAGGATTCAGAGCAGGGTGTGCTATGTGGGGTGAGGCATCCCAAGGGGCAAGAGCTGGAGGCAAACTCATGGTTTATTATGAGGACTAAATGGATTAATACATGGATAGTGCTGCATAAATATTAGCTACCAGGAAAAGGAGGAAGATGGGGAGGCCAAAAGGTAGAGAAAGAGAAAGGGAAGAAAAAAGAAAGAAAGAAGAGGAAGAAGAAAAGGAAGAGGCAAGAAGGAAAAGGAAAAGAAGGGAAAAGACCATGTTTTTTGCCTTTGAGGAATTAACCATCTAAGACAGAATAAAAGTCAGAGACACAGAGTATCCTCTAGCAATTACTGAGTGCTAATTTTCTATT